CCAATTTAATTAATGCTGGGAAAGTGTCAACAGTTCAACACCGATTTTATAAAAATGTTAGAGGATAAGGGACAGATATTGCGCGGGCAGTGTAATACACAAACAGTTACAGGATCAGTACACATTAAAATATGATAAGCTTGCTACGCACGCAATGAACCCAAAACATGATATATTGACTTCAACATTAAGGTGACAGTGCGTCAGAGACGTGGACCATATATTGGCTTTATACAAGCTTGGAGGTGGTACATAATATCATTCTGGAGTTTCATTTATATTGCACACTGTCTATGTCGGAACAAAAATTAACGTTATTCACTGATTCAGAGTACGTACCTTGCAACACACTCTTTACAAAAGCATTCAGCCCACACGTAAAGTTACTCGATGATGCAATCGGCATAGTACTGTAAAGTGAGTGCCAATCGGCCATCGAAGGGATAAGTGCTCAGGGATGTCAAGCCCCCGACAATTCTATATATTTTGCCCAGCAAATTTCCTCTGTTAAAAACATATCATTACCTGACCACATGCAACATTTGAAATGTATATGGCAAGTGCAATGTCCTGCATTGCACCACAGGAGCCCGGAATTCCGTCAGAAATAAATAATAACAGCACGGCGGAATCAGCTTATTATGATATTTTATATGCCAGAGAAAAATAATATAATAAACGATATATTACAAAAAAGTATTAAGCTGTTTTCGATCTTTTGTAGGTTGTCTGAACCGGAAGTGAGATGCCCTATAATCATCAGACATAGATCAATGTGGAAACCTGATAAATTATTAATACAAATTGATGAAGTAATAATTGAAATCATTTGTTAGTTGTCATTAATATCAGCTTGTTGAAAAATATTTTATTCTGTCGTCGTAATAATCAGTATATACATTCTACTATCACTTTCAAATAACTTCGAGGAAGAACTTTAAGAACTACATGTATCGTTATACTTATCCTAGCTAACGATATCGTAATGTAAAAGTCAATAAGATGAAAGAAGTGATAAAAATAGTCATGATATACCTATTTCGCACCGAAAAGTTGCGTTACATTTTGACCCATAAGCATCACAATATTTTGCCGCGCTATGTAGATTACGATTACGTGACAACCACATGCCTCGCAGGTCATGCGGTTAAATCAAATTGCATAAAAACAATAACAACTAAAAACACAACATATTCCTTTTCTAACAATAATCAAATATTATTTTCAACGAAACTTGTAAATAAAGCAGTAGTCGTCAGTTGTTTACGACAATAGCGTTTACTTTGGATCTATTTCGATTTTGACACTTTACAACGTAAACACGGTGAAATCACCTTGTAATGCAATAGAGAAACCATTACTTAAAGGATTAAAAACACACGTCTTCCTTCTGGAGTAATATTTTCATTGAATCGGCATGTTCTCCTCACAGGACGTGTCAAGGCAACCGTTAGTATTAATGGAAGGCATGCTCGTTTTCTTATCAAAATTTGTGTCAGAAAATGTCGGTTAACAGGGGGGGGGGGGGGGGGGGGGGGGGGGGGGAGCGAGGTGTGAAAATTTTACCTGGAGTGGACAGTTGATCACCACGGACGATGTACAGTTAGCCCGACCTATTGTTCAAATCTCCTGGTGTCAAACACGGACAACTTACCTGAGTTTTTACCTTATAAAATCCATTCAAGGCAGAAAAACATATTGTTATAACGGGGTCCAACCTTTGACCATATCAAAATAAACGATTTGTTTTGCTTAGTTATGGGATAAAATCGGTACATGGGGAAAAGAATTATAATAAGCTACATCATAATAAGAAGGTTCCACTCTAGTACAAAAAACTCCTATAATATAGCAAAGATGTATTTCTACAACATTAAACAGTAAATATAGAAACACTGCGTTATTAAATTGAATAAATGTGTAACAAGTTTGTAACAAACATGTCTTTCATCCCTCTCCTGAACACACCGTATCATGTTTCATTAGTACTGATAAAATATCTTGTTATGTTCATGTTTGATAGAGTAAACATCGCACTCCGTCTTTTGCCGTTCATTGTCTGTAAACAATTCATGGTTATTATCAAATATTATGTGTATTACCATGGACTTAGATCTAATTCCGTGGTATTACCAAAGACGTATATATTACAATATGTACGTCTCTGCTATTTTTTCTTTTAATTTTACTTGTGTTACCAAAGCGGCACAAAATCATCTAAAATCTGACTGATTGCGTGAGTCTAATATTACATCTGAGGGAGATAAAGCTTTGTGCTAACTCACAAATATGGCTTGACCCTACAAATAGACCGACCTCATTGAAATCTGGCTGATCAGATTAGTCCAATGTTCTTCTAATAGAGATAAGGTTTTGCAGAAATACAGGTAAACCGCGGCGGTGACCTTCGGTCACGTTTGACGAGTATCTAAAGTTATCAAAGCATGGTTAGCTTTACAGTTCTTTAGTGTTGATGTATTGGTCATGTCGATTTATACTGTGACTATATACTGAAATGGACAGAGCACGTTGGAGAGAGTTTTCTTAATTCTGCCGGAAAGAATAGTCATATTCACGTGGTCAGTGGTATAATTCCAGGCTTATTTGCAGTGGTAACATATATAAAGCAAAACGTTAGTGACCCAAATATTGTGACGGAAACTGTGTACTGTAGTTAGGTAGGAACACTACAGTAAGTAGGTCAGAGGAATCCATCGGCTTCGGGGAAAAGTGTGGGAAGCACAGTTTCAGCAAGCACAGCATAGTCAGAAAATTAATCAGAATATTTTTTATTAATTATATACTCACAAAATACATACTTTATCTGCCTATAAAGTTGGCGAACCACAAAATGACGTCACTACGTTTTGAATGAAAATGCAAGGGGTCGCTGCCAAAAACATTTGCATATGAATGAAATGTGAACGAATGATATCCATATAAGGAGATATCAGCTGCCATATCAGGACAGAAAGACATATAGTCATAGCTGGCGCATGTATTGATAGTGCAGTTCCATGTTAAGGAAATTTCGTAGTATGCGCGATCCCCTAGACACTTGCGTTACCTAACGCATGTGTCAAAAACAAATATACGTATATATGTATAATATGCGGTTTTAAAATACTAAATATATCGAACTTCTCAACACTTCTAAAGTTGAACTTACTTGACGAATGGTCTGTACCGGAACACGAACAGTTCGTTGGTGTGTCTGTCATTCTTCCATATACAGCTATATGTGATATAAGAAAAGACGTGTGATTACTTCTATTTTTATGCAGTTATATTGAACTGAAATAACATTTATTACATACTTACTAATAAATATGGGTTGTTTGTATACGCGAAACGACACAACTGTTGTAACTTATATCAACTCTCTACGTATCAAACCCCAAAACCCGTACCAGCCCTCTCCGTATCAGCTCGCAAAACCCGTATTACACTCCTTTTGGAACACTTCTAATTTGTCCGATCTTCCGCCACCAACATCATTCGGAACTCTTATGAAATTTTTCGTTTGTCAATGCTTCAAAATAAATATTGTCATAAGATAGTATATATATCTGTATTTTATTTGTAATTGTGTTATAAACAGAATAAAACATAACCTTTTCCATATCACACCAAGTATCAACCTGAGACTCCAATATCAGCCCGAGGGCCTAAGAATGTTTAATTCTCTTCATAAGCTTAGTACATTTGTACTTTGAATGAAATATCCGACCTTGAAACAACCAGCACATCTTTATTCTTTTATTTCTTTACCTATTTTAATCATTTACTTTTCTTTGTGATACATCATTTTTCACAACTTGGTGTGTAAAGTTCTAAGTGAAAGAAAAAGACACAACTGACAGATTTGTAAACACCTCATAGGGGTGGCCACAACTGACCGTTCTCAGATACTACTAGCATAGATTTACATTTCTGCACGACACAACTAATGGGTATGGTACAAATTTACAAAGCTGGATTAAACTGATGAAGCTTAACACAACTACTAGAGTTAGCAAAACACTACTGGATTTAAAACAACGCGTGTAGCGTTAGGAATAATGCTAAAACAGATAGACACAAATGTTCAAGTAAGGCGAAATGCTAGAGACAGACACAACGTCTATCGTAAGACATGACTGGGAATGCTAGAAAAAGACACACCTGATCAAGTTAAGCGAAATGCTAGAGGCAGACACAACGTCTATCGTTAGACATGACCTGGGAATGCTTGAGATAGACACAACTGATCAAGTTAGGCGAAATGCTAGAGGCAGACACAACGTATATCGTTAGACATGACTGGGAATGCTAGAGTTTGACACAACTGATCAAGATAGGCAAAATGCTAGAAACAGGCACAACGAATTAGCTTAGACACTATGCTAGTAGCATCCTTAATTTCTAGTGTTAGACACAACTACTAGAGTAAGTGACAACGGCCTAGTTCCACATAATTGCTTGCGTTTGACACAACTGAGAGAGCTAGACATATCTAAGGGGGTTTACACAACTGCCAGATAGAGACATAACTTATACAGTGTATACTGGTACACAGCTGATGCAGCTTGACACAAACTATTGATCTTGTCACGAGTTATGGGGCTGAATAAATTGTTCATGACCGGAAGTACATTACGTATTATTAAGAAAGATTCTATATGGCAATATTAAATTAAGTTAATTCCAAAGAAGGTTTTAGAATTGTTAGAGATATATCCTTGCGTATCTTATATAAATATTGTGTATGTTTGTAACGAAGGCATATAGCAGATGAAGAAATCAGGAAACAAGGATTTCTTTTTCACAAAAACGAGAATAAAAACACTCTATCCAAGATTCATGTGGTACTACTACAAATTCTGTATTGTTGCATGTGTTATATCGTTATAAAGCTTTGAATCGCAAGGAAAAGACTGTTTGTTAATACATACCGTACATATCAGAAATAAGGCGATCGGCACACTTCGCTGTTGTTGTACCCGCGGATATCAACTGGCTCAGTCGTACAAACGCTGTAACAGCAAAAACTCATTTGGGGACGCGTACTTTGTGACAGGGGCTACGTCACATAGTAGCTCCCCTACAATTGTGAAAGTGAAATGATTATCAGAATGAATCAAGGATGCAAATCAATGAATAATTGAAATTATGAATTTATTAATGAAAAAGGATGGATGAATAAAAAATGAATGGATGAGTGAATGAAAATGAATAAAAATAAATGAATGAATGAATGAATGAATAAATGAATGAATGAATGAATGATGAATAAGTGTATGAGAGCCCTTTTTCATGAGGACAATTATTGTAAGAAGACTGAAATCAGAGCCCAAACCCTGGCATTATCCATAAAACATGTTGTGGGACAATTTAAAAACATGTAATATATACAACGACAGCGAAGCAACTTCCACAAGTATTTGGACGAGCGATTCTATTATAATTTTTGGTATCTGTATATCTCTTAAACTCTAAGTTTAAATCTGACAGGAGAGTGTTTACAACAATAGGAAAAAGAAAAAAAATGAGAGAAAAAACTAACAGAAAACATTACCTGTGTGGTCTACCAGACATTGATCATGTCCAATAAGATTGTGTATGTCTAAAAGAAAAAATACAAATGTTATAAAAATGACATTAAAAATCAGTGAAATATTGTTTTGAAAATTTTACCATCTGTATTCATATTATTTTAATTGCTAAATTCAACAAACACAAAAAGCTGTATGAATTTCAGTCGAATGAATACGGGTACGTAATATATTGTTCAATCTGATAGTCATTCGAACTATAAATAATTATTAAACATTTAAATGTAAGCGTAATTCTAGGACAACAAAGCGTAACATGTAAAACAACCCTTTTGCTGAACGATTTTAAATAGCGTTTCATAGTCACATTGTAATTATTATGTGAGAGAACGATATATCCGTTGGAGAACAGATTCATACCTGTGTAGGACGAATAGCGCCTGCAGTAGTCGTTGTTTGCATGAAGGGCTGGCATGTGCGTGGTCGTCACGTGAGCTTTACATTAAATTTATATATTATGTATAGTTTTATTACAGCATCATCAAATAGGTATGGAAAACCTATAATATTTCCTTATCATAATGATAAATATATATAAAATGTATCAGAAGAACCTACACAAAGAGATCATTCGTTTCGTGGTTGTTCTTGTATATCAAAGAACATATAAACTCAAAACAAAATTTTGTTAACTCATGTATTGCCAATAATTTATAAAACCAACTAGGGCTCTCAATAAAGTGCGAATGACAGACAGCTTCATGAAACAAACGAAACAACAATTCAGTAGATTTCGGTAATTATCTGGTTCTGGCAATGTTTACATAAAGAATTGAACTTCATGAACAAGTTAGTATCTTGTACGCAACCAACAAAACAAATCTTTGTTAGTGTATGACGTCACCTACTGTACCATACCGTTTACAGAGCACGAGCAGCTCCCACTAGTACCAACATGTTGGAATGCGTCTGTAAAAAATGAAAACAAAAAAACAGGATGCATCTTATTCAGGTAAATCGGAAACACTATATAACATTTTGGAAAATATCATTTAAACAGACATATGTATATGTGTATGTTGTTATTTCAATTTTATTTCGATTAACATAAACTTATGCCTAAGATGTCTGTTCAATAAAATACCTGTCAAATGCAAGCCTACCGTGATCAAAGCGTGATTTTTACAATAACATTGTCGTATAAAATCCTTATTCGAAATCACACGAATGCATTCTACACTGTCTTTGTGTTCTTACTATTCATGTGTTTATTCTGAAGGCATAATTTTAAGAAATGAGGTGTTAGAGTAAACTTTTTTAACTTCAAAATACCTGACAGTAATATATCGGGAATATATACGTACGAGTCATAATTCTTAACAACATTTCCAGGCAAGTATTTGATGTGTGCGCATTTGAGACTGCATCAACATAGGCCCACACTGAAAGATGGAAAACATTATCTCTCAACAATCAAATTATTATAACATAAAGAAACAAAATCGCAATGTGCAAAAGGTGGATATGAAACAGCTTTATCTAAGGAAAACAATTAACACAAAAACAGCACACTATCTTAGTACACAGTTGACGGTTAACATCTTGACATTATGCTAAATAGCCGCACTGATATTTTTTTATTATTGATACGAAATCGCTTCTTTTTCGAAGCAAATGCATTGTGAATCTGCAATGCTCATATATACCAAGTATGCTACAGTTATGTAATTGTTTATTGTTTATATACATTTGACATGATTTAAGCGAGTTACAAGAAAGTTGGTTTGAGCACAGAATCCATGCTTGAGTATAAGAACGTTTTTTTAATACAGGCCCTGGTCCTATACTCCTTGTACGTTTTCTCCAGGTATATTTTTCCTTTGTTCATATTTTGCCTTATTTTACCGATTTTGAATTTCAATTATTGTCTGTTGACACTACGTTATTCGCTTGCTTTTCTTTTATAAGTAATATTTGACGTTTCAATGAACTTGAATATGAAAAGTAACCATATGTTCGCATTCTGGAGAGCTATTTACGGACTTAAATTAAAACATGACTCGGTTTGGACTGGTTTCATGTTTTCAGATTTTTCGTTTGAAGATACACATGTCTTTGGTGTATGTATCAGGTTGCGGTATAATAATAGTATTTCAAAAGATATTTATAACACTTTGCCGCTATAGGGGCGTGTCCATCTGATTAAGATACTACAATACTACTTTGCTATTCACCGACTACATCAAGTGAATATTTTACGTAGTGGTACACTGTAACTCAATAGTATGTGTCATATTTCTCTTGTTATGCCACTAGTTACTTTCAAATTCAAATTCACAAAACTTATGGGCGGAACTGTTCCGACGTTTTTGTTAATGGTCTAGTGGTAAGTTTTAACTATTATTTCATACATATTTTTCAGTTATAATAACCATAAACAATCAACAACCAGGTCTCTCTTAAATGTAGTAACAGAACCACCAAGTTTAATACAACTGTTTACAAAACCATACACGAAGTTACCGTATTTACTTAAATGGATAACACATTTTATCTACTTGACAAATTATTTCATTGAAGCGAATCAAATTCAAAATGATTGCCCATCCTCCTCCTGTTAACCTTACTCATGTTACACTTAAGGATCAATGTATCAAAGCTGAAAACACACTGATTTGTTACATACTGTAACCGCTCACTGGTTTTATTTCGGCTTTAACAATAACGAATCTGGGCTAATATTCTTCTGTTGACCAGGCAGCTCAGATAGCGAGAGGTATTCTGAGCTCTCGGGTTCAAATTAAGGTCTAGAACTGGTGTATGTATCTACACTCAAAACTCTCGACCCGTATTCTTGAAACTGTTCTAATGCTCAAGCATGGATATTCCGTGATCAAACCAACTTTCTTGTAACTAGGTTAAATATTGTGCCACTGCCAAATGATCAAGTGTACATATTAAAAATGGTATTCGGCTTTTAGTCTCTCTGATTGTTTTTCAAAAATCTTAGAGAAAAAGTGATTTTTTATTGATTTACAAGAAACAAGAAATTTGGCTTGACAACGCAGTTTGATTGAGACTGGTTTCACGAATACGGGCCCTGTAATTTGTTTTTTCTGTTTCATTTTTATGAAGGTAACGTACCTCATTCAATTCTGAAAGCTGCCGTCATACTGGGAAACAGTTACCGAGAGATACGACGATCCCTAGTTGTGTTTACTAGTGCATTATAGGCTTAATATACTTGAGGTACAATCCATGAATGCATTTTCTATTCGGAATGAACTTACTTGTATTTTGGCTTGCACAACTTCGTCCGTAAGTATTCGTATTGTGTGTGTCCCTACTTCCAAACACGGTCCGGTACATATCTGCAAGGAATTATCAAAACTTAAATTCATTTTCCGATGACCATATATCAACATCTTTTCATTTTATTTCAGTAAAAAAAAAATGTTGAAGTCAAAAGGATAAAAAAGAGACTTTGTTCATATTTGTCATCGTATAGCAATATACGAGGGGAACACCTTGCACAGACGATTCATTGCATTTATAATAAAAACAAGTCAGAGTATTTGATAAAAAAAATCTTATTGTTTAACCCATATAGGTAATAACACGACACATTACGCCAAAAGAAAGCATTCTAACCTTATCCTGTGTGTGTAATATAACAAACATTCCAGTTCACGAGACGAAATCACCAGACTGTTGGTAATTAACAGCATTGTTAGCGGTCGAGGTGTTTATGAGAGTTTTGATTTGTGTTGGAACGAAAAAGATCGATTAACTTATGCTTCTTTCATATATTCGTAATAATTTCCCCATTTCGGTTTGTTACAAGCCCCCGATGATATAAATCAATGAAAAGAAATCCCTTATACAGCTTCACATTATACGTTTAAATGTTCCAATCCTATTCTTTTACTGTTTTCTCAATAATGACTTACATATACCGCTATTTGCATACGTTGTTATGTATAACAATTTCTTTTTCTTGTGATGTCAACATAAGATAATGATCCTCCTGAACACTCAGAATAGATGACAGAGCTCGGGGACTCCCTATTTGTAGTATATTTGCTTGACAAAGGAAACATATGTTTACCGCAGCTCGCAAAATAAGTTTTCAATTACTGTTTGTGATAAAATAAAATAAAAAATAGCGTTTATTCTGTTGTATATTGTTTCTTACATAGACACACGGCTAACATTAACGTGATTTTAGTAATTAACGTTAAATATACACGTTCTTTAAATATGTATTAATGCATGAAATTTGTTGAATGCTTCTAAAAAATCACCTTTACACCAGGTGCTAATGTCCTTGATACTGTTAACATAATAAGTCGCCATCTTTTGTCATGAGTACATTTACGTCCAATCTGAATGCCTCTTAATCATCGGAGTTCATAAACAAAACATATGCACAAATATAATCAAGGTGATTTGTTTTCTGACTGAACTCATGATTTCACATCTTCCATGGGAATATTTTTGCAGATAAACAGGTTACATATTTTGTATAATATCTATACTCACGGTTGAAATTTGTGTCATGATAGTAACACTGTGATGTATCTTCTGAAACAAAACATCGTAAAAACGTTGTAATATTAAACACTAACTATTCTTTTAATAGTTTCATAAAACATTCAGCTTATCTACTCTAAATGACTTTTGAATGAAAGTGACTCCTAAACCACGCCTTACAATATTGTCTTGTTCCCTTGTGCATATGCTATCAGTTTTCTATTCTTTTCATTGACGCGTTGCTCTGTTAATATGATGCATTCATCTTGTACGCAAAAAGGACTGAACAAACTACCATGTTTATTTACCTGTGGGCCAGCTGATATACTTCTTTACGCCATTGCACGTACACGCGGTTTGTCCGTTGTTGTGATTCCAGGATGTGTAATATCCTGTAAATGATAATATAATCACCAAAATTGTAGTTTGATAATCAGTTGCTCGCGTTACAAAAACTAGAGGAAGACAAAACAAATTACAGAAAGAAAACAAAACAGGTTATAACAACGATCGTTCAATTCCGGAAGTGTGAAATGATGCATAACTGGAAATATATCAATGAGTAAAATTGTCAGAGGAACGCACCGGTCCACACAAACTATGTTAACAATAGGTTATCGTGCAGCGTAGGCGCAGTACATTGTATTTCAAGGTTAAACTGTAATAACACTGACCTGACGACATGACTACAATAATGTGGTTATAGTAAAAATAACACTTATTAAGAGGATATGACAAAATATCATTACTTCACATTAACATTTCTTATCAATATTTGTATAAAATTTATCGTAATCAAACGCCTTATTGAAATAGCAACACTTAACGTTTAAAAAAGAACACAGTTCTAAATAGGACAACACGTTTAAATCAAATCTTTATTCAATAAAAATACCATACTTATTTGAAGTTTTCTTTATATATCTAGTTTAACAAGTATTTATACAAATAAGCAAAACAAGAAGTCGACATACTGTCCAACTCTGCTACAATCTTCTTTACACAATCAATAGAAGTATGGATCTTTATGTCTTCCAGGTGACTCCATACTGAAGACAAAACATGGCAAGGAAAGTAATTTCAAAACGAAAAGTTTTTTGTTACTTCTGACAGAACGAAGATATATCTTCAATTATTAGATTTATTGTAATTTTGCCCAGCTAATATCTTTTTATTTTCAAGCTACAATAAGCAAGCCTCTAAAACAAAGTCATCGAGTCTTAAATCATTATCCAATTGGTGACTTTAAATATCAATAGTGTCCAATACATTTTAAATCCGGTGCAGAAAACACGATTAAAGCTGAAAAATATGTAAACAAAGAGGTCGTCTGACCTTTTTTTTCGTTGTAGATATTTAATTTCATGGAAATAAATGTTAGGAACACATTTTCTTCTCAAATGTTACTTTCACTTATATCACTGATAAATGAATGGTATATATTTGTAGTAAATTTAACAATGATTATATATCCATGAACACAAATTTTAAGTCAAAGACATTAGTCTATTAGAAACCGGAAAATCTTAAAAGTGCAACAAAATACGCTAGGTAAACTTTGAATACAGGCATGTCTCTTAAGTCGAAAAAAATATTAATCTACTTACTGGCGTCGGACGTGTAGCAATGGTTTTGTGTTTTTAAACTTTCCAAAACTGTAAATTCAATATTTAAAAAATCACGTTTTTAATTCGCATTCCAAGGATTTTTCGCATGTAATATTAATACAATTCAACAAGACAGATTGGTTAAAATGATATAGATTATCTATAGGAAGTTATCCCACATAACTATGTTTGAAAAGTGTCTATTGTCTGCTTAAAGTGAGGTACTGTAAAGATAAAGGTCTGTCATTGTAAATAAGATTTAAATATAACATAATGTAAAGGACTAATGCAACGTACTTAAGTCATATGCAATATCAGTATATGATATTGTATCTGAAAATAAACTGTTAATATCAAGCAAATATAAACGTTCTAAATATTGTACATCCTAAATATTGTACATCCTAAACATTGTTCATCCTAAAAATTGTACATCCTAAACATTGTACATCCTAAATATTGTAAATCCTAAATATTGTAAATCCTAAATATTATACATCCTAAATACTGTATATCCTAAATATTGTACATCCTCTAAATATTGTACATCCTAAATATTGTATATCCTAAATATTGTACATCCTCTAAATATTGTACATCCTAAATATTGTATATCCTAAATATTGTACATCCTCTAAATATTGTACATCCTAAATATTGTACATCCTAAATATTGTACATCCTCTAAATATTGTACATCCTAAATATTGCACATCCTAAATATTGTACACCCTAAATATTGTACATCCTAAATATTGTCCATCCTAAATACTTTCTATGATAAATATTAAATGTGGATGTGTTAAATATGGTAAGATAAACGTTAAACACACAAACATGTTATACAGTATTTCTAAAACGAATTCGCTGCAAGATACAGTTTCGACCTTTTAGGACTCATATTGGATGCTAGGAGCCAAAAAAGTGGTAATCGAACTTATCCTAACCCACTGTCGTAACAGAAGGGGAGTTGTAGAGCTTAATAGTTAGTGTAATATGTGTTTACATGTGTTCTTTGTCACAGAACTTTTGTTGTTCTTAAATATAATATCAAAACAAACAAATCATAAATATTAGCAACCGAGTTATAGACATACATGTGTAGGATGCAGAATTACAGGCTAACGTGTTCTGGTGAAAAGTGAGATGCTGGGAGTGAAGTCTGTGGCAGTTCACTGAAATTAATAAAACACGGTTGTTAACGTCATACCGACAGAATTTCCTTACGATTGATACGATACATGCTTTATAGAGGCGTTTTCCATTTATCTCTGTTTAACTCTTTGACACCATGGTGTACGTATCATGTTAATCTTAAGTTATGAGAGTTGGTATTCGCTTTACATACATACATACATACATACATACATTCATTTCATTAATCTTTTTATTTGCATAGTTTAACCTACCTGGTGCCAGGTCGTACGGTAGTGAGTCTACGCGTAGGTCACAGCTACATGACTGGTTATTGAAATATGTCCCTGTCCCACACTGCATCACAATGACACTTTGGTGACTCGTCACTGTATAACACTGGGGATCCTTGAACACTTGTTTGTGACATGTGTTCTGGGACCTACTTATAAACGCTGAAGAGAGACCGTTGTTCCCAGTCAGGGTCTGCGCGTGTTCGTAGTGAACATTCCCCAAACCATTCTGTGATGACTTTGCATGAACATCTATGATAAAATAAGATAGTTTTGTATGAAATTGATTAATAAATAGAAACAAAATTCAAAAAAAAGAAAACAAAAATACAAGAACGTCAAAAGCAAAGGATCAAAGAGACAATCTTACCTCCGAGTCATTAAAAATATAATTTGGAGATAACAATAGAAGTGAGCCGACATCATGAAACAATGGATATATGTGTATTGATAAAATATTACAAACACTTACCATGGTTGGTAGAATCACTCGCACATGTTGCAATAAGGAAAAAGTAGAAACACGCTCCTTTCAAGAAAGGGAAAAAATAGCATTATGTAAAAAAACGCATGTCGATAATTTCTTATTGATTATTGCCACTATGTTTCTACAGCTGAAATTGTTACAGAAAATGTGTGATATACCCCATACCAGCACTTTCAGACTACCACCTCACGAATAAAGTGAAGATCAATTTCCTGACACAGTAACAATAATTAAAGCAACACATATAGATGGCTTAATATACTTCATTATTAAAATTATATAAAATATATAAAATTAGGCGTATTGTTCGACACTGTTTGGCAACAACTTTAAAGATCGGCGTCGAAACCGGAGATAAAATAAAATATATTTGCTAAAATGAATATACCATAGATTTTTCAAAATCAAAAATGCTAAACATATGAAGAAATTAACAGACTTTAGAAAGGTCAAATTCATAATATCATACCTAAAGCCTTTTCAGAGAAAATACGAGTAGACTTACCTAATGTCATTTCAGGCTGTGGTATCGCTACGTGGGAATGCGATCTCCTTATAGAAACAAATCAAACAACATAGTAATATTTCTATTAATGCAATAAAATATTATTCCCAGATCACACTAATTTATATCAAACACACTTTTAGATTTAAAAAAAAGACCTGATAGAAGATGTCATATTTACAACCAGTATTTATTTTGTTAAAAGGTGCTTATTTGATAGATATTCCACTGTTCCTATTAAGAGGCGTGTATAACAATATATCATTTCTAGTTATATTGCTAGTGACACTAACTTGTCTTTAATGTTAAGAAGATTTCGAAGTTAATGATGTGTCTTCGTTTGCTTTGATTAAAACCTCAATATTTGCGTTTTATCTGTCAAATGGATATGCACCATACTTTGCTTACTCTTCATTTTTGATAGAATTGTTTTCTTCTGAAAGAAGAACTGTAACAGCCATATACAGGAGATACGTAGCATATCACAACTCGATAACGAGTTTCTATCTATAACCTGTTTATTAAGGTAATCTGATATAATTATTTGAATTGTATCGGTCATTTATTAAACTGACTTTTAAAAATATTTTAATGTGTTTTCAATACAATTATATGAACGTAACTGCAGTCTGACAACCTAGTCTTTTGAGTGATTGTTTAAAAATTCGCAAAGAGTTTTTTATAAGCAGACTACCAAGCGTTACATTTTGGCAGTTTGTATAATACCCTATTCACAAGGCAGTATTAGCGTGCAAATTAATGTTGATAAGATTCAATTTGGTTGGTTCTTAAATTGGATATGCAATGCAAATTCAAATATACGGATATATAATATGTACCTGAATGAATATGAATTGAAAGAGTGAAGTAGTAAATAAAACAACCTTTATGTGTTATATTAATCTTCACTTCGAAAGAACTAGGGGCGTTTGGGTCATTTCTTGCCTCATCAGGAATTTATATTATTTGTTATATTCGTAATCTGGAATAAATGAAGCAAATAAGAAATGTCTAATTCATCCGGAAACTGATATAGGAGATATGGCATAAGAAGAGAGGCATACACATGCATTTTTCATAGTAAAACGCGTGAATATCGTCTGATTTGTGATATTTACGTTGAAAATTGGCAACTTGAAGGAAATTAATTTAACCCTCTTCAATTTTTGAAAGCCTCCCCATGCACCAAACATTGTTATACATGTTCGTTCGTAGAAAGGACATTTTGATTGCCACGTGCGGAGGCTTTACTTCTGCATGCTAACAGACCAAAAACATCATAGTTTGGTATTCTGTATAACAAGGCAATTTTATTGCATGATATGGTAGGGCATCTACGCATGCGCAAGGGAAAATATCCACCAGGAGACGTAGTCCCAAATTAATCAACATGCTGTTTATAACTGAAATTATTTTTGATGAGGCCGATAATGCCCCACATGTGCACTAACTTGAACTTTTTATGATACCTACAACATTAAAGTTTTTATAACCACATGCCATATTCATTTTTGGGACGTATTTCTAGATATTCACAAGAAACGCTAAAATCAAATAAAATAAAATGTTTTACCGAAATGACCCTACCTTCTTTACAAAGCTGACCTCGACCGTTGACTATGTGTATTGCGGCCTAGATCTCTAACAACACTGACTTAGTTTCTATATATATGGTAAGCTTATCCATTCTATGATAAGGTATCGTGTTTACAGTGTGGCACACCGGTCGATCTATAGGTCGACATTGCCGGATATGTTCCGGTTTACATGTGACTCCAGAGGTTCATATAAACTAAAGAGGATCACGGTGTTTTCCTTTTTTCTCGGTGTCTCGTCGGTTCCCGTTGCCTTCTTGCCTTTCGTTTTGGAGTCGAGGTAGCTTTGGTTCATGCTGATGTTTCAAAGAAGCCTCGGTTCCTCCTCTGTTCCTTTTGTTAACTTTCCGTTTTATAGAGAAGCATGGTGTGTTGCGCTTTGTCTTGGAGTAGCCTCGTTCCATATGGTTTCCCCTTTTGTTTCGTTGTAGACTTTATTCTTGGGGCTGTGTGTTTTGTCAATTTTGACTCTTATTGTATAATTGCTTGTAATTAAAATGGTTCATGTATATAATCACATTAATACCATATTTTGCCGTTTTTTGTACTTGTATATATCATGTTCTTGTCCCAAGTTTGTCTCTCTTATAAACGCTTTTCTGCAACAGCCACACAGTATTTATTAAAGTTATGTTGTGTTATGTTTACATACATATATCTAATGTATGTTTTTGGTGGGTTTTTTATCATGTTGTCATTAGCTCATAATATGTCGGTTTTTATTACACTATATTTGTTTCTTAAACTACACTCTTATCAGTACAGCTGTTCTTAAATGACACGAATGAGAACTTACTACGTTTGCCTAAGATGACCTACATAAAAGATCAGGATATTTGTAGAGTATCTATACTATGCTAAGCACAACTTGATTTTTTCTTACTACTTTGGTTGGTAGAAGTTCACTTCAGGCAACTAGTCCTAACCCGAATGCATTTTAGGGCACAACTGAGCAATACCCTTTTCTATAATAAAATAACGGTACATCCTATAGGAGTTGTTTACTTTTAAATAAAGTATTTTCGTTAAATCCAACCTTTTATTTTAGTGCTTTAACTTTCTTGCAATTTTGAACCAAATATATATGGTTAAACGTAACGTATGAAATGGCCCGTTTGTTTCCCCGAAATTAACCATAGCGCCATTGTTATTTTGACTTTAAATTATGAAATGAAGAATAAAGATATTTCCTTATTCTATAGTTTAACACGATTCGTTTGCAACGCGTGACTTGATTGGATACGGACCATGTTCTAATCTGCGATAGAATCATGATCAATCGTGTGAACAAGCTCTTCCCATCGCACTTAAGCCACGCCCCGTTTCAAACCAAAATAATATGGCGTCAAGCTCGCCTCTTAGCCAAATCCCGCTGATAAGGTTAGCAGGCAACAGAACAGAAACGACAGATGAAATGTATTTGTTGATGAATTAAAAAGTTAAAAAAAATAAACATTCCTTGTTCTTACCCCCATTTATTACTGAAACGTTCGTTCCATCCGTGTGAAGGCATCTATTTAGATCCGAAATCAAATCAAACATTTCACATGTGTCGTATGCATTTACACAAAACTCTTCACAAATCTATACAAATAATAAGCACAGATTGATTTACATACTGACATGTCAATGTAAGAATTTGGTCAATATTAATCCAAATGTGCCGTATAAACTTCTTGGTAGAAGGACGTTCACCAACAGTCCAAATATTCCGTCTCTTTTTTTTTTTTTTTTTTTTAGTTTTAAACATATTTTATTGCCTTTTTTACATAGCAATGGAATTGGGCACAAGTTTTACAACTTATATCAAGCCCTTTCCCTGTACTATAATATGTTTTTTAACAAAATTTCATGATGGCAGAACTACGTAAATAAGCTATGTATTATAAATTAATTAATCAGTGACATACATACACCCACACATTCACGCACCGAACCACACGCATGCGCACAAATATAAACATGCACATGTTGATAAAGGAAGAGAGAGAGATAGGGGGATGGTGAGAGGGGAGGAGAGAGAGAGGGAAGAAGGGGTTAAAGGGTCAGATTTTTTAAGAGTACTTGATAAGTACTGCAACAAGACTGTAAATTTAAGAAAATATATATATCAGACCACGTGGTTGTTCCTTCTCCATGCGAACGGACTAGTTATACTATTCGCTGTTCATAACTTTCTTCTGATCAATGTTCATCATATCCCGTGCTATTATAACTTCCTCCTGTTTACTCCGCTCTTGTTGGTATTTCCGTTTCAACTAGTCCGTCCGCACAGAGATAGACCAAACACACGACTTCATTATATTTATATATATATATATATACGTATATTTGTATGTTGCAACTCGTGTTGTCAATCTATTAGTGTTAGTAAGATACATGTATTAATAAAGATGTCGATTTTGAGGGGTGGATGGTGTTAAAATCTGTTCGAGTCTTGTATATATTGCTGAGTATTCATGAATATAATTTTGGTTTCTTGTTCCGAAATTGTTATATCTCCAAAAAGAAATAGATTCAATGTAAGGGGGATGTATGCATTCAGTTCACGATAAAGTTTAATTCTCTGTTCAACATAATTATCACAGTTAAAAAAGAAATGGAATGTGTCTTCAGTAGGGTAACCACACATACAACGTTGGTCATCAACCAGGTTAACTCGGAATAGATCGTTTTTCGAAGTGCTAGAAAGGTTTCTTAGTTTTGTATGTAGGATGTTATTTTTTCTATCACCGTAGAAAAAGTAATTGGGTACATGGGGCAAATGTTTGTCTCTAATGGCATTTTTAAACGATGAAAAAGAGGAGCTATGCCTAATACTTAAAGTTAACTGATTCCAAAGTCTAATAGGAGAAGGAAAGTAGGACATGTTAGATAACTCTAGTCTGTTGTTTGGCAGCTTGTAGTTTTCGGCGTTTCTAAGATTATATCGAGCATTTTCGACAAGAGGAGGGAGTAGAGTGTTTAGATAGTTAGGAGTAATATTATGATGAATTTTATAAAACAATTGCAGTTTCCGACGGGTCCTCCGGTGGGCTAGGGATTCCCATCCCGTTTCAGTATATACAGATTGTCTACTAGCATAGGAAGGTAAACCGGTGACAATACGTCCTGCCTCTAATTGTAGCTTTTCTAACTTGTCTGTATCAGTAAGAGTACAACCATCACAAACTTCACAGCAATATTCTAAAATAGGAAGTATTAACGATCTATATATCTTATTTGATGTACGGCGGTTTAGATTATATTTCAATTTACGGAGAACACCTAATTGCTTGACTACTTTTTTTTACAAATATTGTCAATATGATAGCTCCACTTACAGTTAGCATCGATGAATACTCCCAGATGTTTATGGTTATGAACAAAGTCTATACTGATATTATTAAAATCTATTTTAATCAGGTGATCTAGTTCTATATTAGAAATAAGTAAAGCCTCTGTTTTTGCAGGATTACATCTAACTAACCATTTATCAGCCCACAATTGAATATTTCTAAGACCGTTATTAATTTTCTGTTCTAATATGTGTGGGGATTTATCTGAACCTAATAGAGAAGTATCATCTGCAAAAAGTTTTGATAAGCTTTCTAAATTATCTGTTATATCATTAATATAAAGTATGAACAACAACGGACCTAAGACTGAACCCTGAGGTACTCCTGCATTAGTTGTCTTAACAGAGGATTTACTGTTTCCAAAAATACTTGTTGAGATCTATTTGTAATATAATCAATTAACCATTCCAATAACTTACCCGAAATTCCATAGCTAGCTATTTTCACCCCCAGCCCCCTGTGCCACACTCGATCGAATGCCTTAGAAATATCACAAAAGACTAAACAGGTGGGTTGATTTTTTTTCAAGATTGTCGCACAAGTTGTGGTATATTTCTATAAGCTGGTGTACGGTAGAATGACGTGGTTGGAAACCTGACTGATACTTATATAAAAGAGAATTCTCTAAAAGGTAGTTATGCAAATGTTTAGCTACAAATCTTTTAAAAACCTTACCAATAGTACTTAGCAATGCAATAGGTCTATAATTTGAGGGGTCTTGTTTATCTCCTTTTTTAAAAATTGGCATCACTAGAGCAAGCTTCCATTGTCTGGGGAAAGATCCAGTCTCCAAAGAAGAACGAAAGATTAGAGATAGCGGATAAGCAACTGAATTAGCAGTGTTCTTTAACATATTATGACTAATTGTATCATTTTCTACAGCTTTACCAATTTTTAAAGTTTTGATTATGTCAATAATGTCATTAATATTAAAGGGTATGTCTGAGATAGTCGAGTCTGTTCTGGATTCTATAACAGGTACGTCTGTGTCAGTATCGTCGATAGTAGAAATAGAAGCAAAGTAGTCATTAAGTATGTTAGTCTTTATGTCATCATCCATTTCTATGTTTCCAGTCGCACTCCGTAATGTATACTACCAGAGGTTTGAGATGATTTTAATAATCTGCGGACAAGTTTCCAAAAAAATCTGGGATTTGTATCACTAACAGTGTCTAAAAGACGGTTAATGACCGCGTAAAATAATTCTTTTGTCCTTTTTTTAAGATTGTTAACGCTATTTCGCTGTTTCCTAAAGTTGTTCAAATTATGTGGAATGCGATTGGATTTGTATTTATGGAGAAGTCCGTCTCTTTTCCTAATTTCATGTCTCATGTCAGAGTTAAACCAATGTTTATCATTAGGTCTGATTGTGACTACTTTAGAAGGAATACACTCATTAGCTATTTCTAAATATCTAGATGTAAAGTGTCACACATGTCGTCCGGGAAATGGGTTCTCAAAAATAGATCAGTCCAGTCTGTTGCTACATGTAAGCTGTTAAAACGTTCGTAATCTGCGTCTGTATAGCATTATATTTTTTTTTATATTTTCTAACAATTTTAGTCCCTATATTTAGTTCTACAGATGTCCGCCTCGTCAACATACAGATCGAGCTTCGCCAGTATGGGCGGAGCCAAATGATCGACTTTTGAAAGCTTCTTTCTGATTGGTCAGTCCGCTGCAGAATGGCACGGCGCCAGCACAGTGCACAGAGTATTTAACTACGTACTTGTAGCAAGCAATTACAATGTTTCTAAACATATTACCGCAGTATATGTGTTAAGGTGTGTTAGAACGGGGATAGTACGTTGTTTTTCGTGTCTATACCGGCGATTAGAACATGAAATTTGGTTTAAAATGGAACATGAAATTTGGTTTAAACCATTTTTCATGTTCTAATCGCCAGTATAGCCACTCAAAACAACGTACTAACCCCTAATTTAAGTACGGATAATATTTATCTGACACTCTTCAACACTAAGCATATTGCATCTATTAAGACGATATTGACCTGGATGATAGACTAGTCAGTCGAATCCTTGAGTCATTAAATGAATAAGATAATCAAATCGACCACTACACAGGTACATTATACATACATCAAAGCAAGTAGACTACACTTCACTTGTGGAGTTTCCGTAAATTTCATTGTGTGTCGAATTGTAATGATTGTACATGTACGCTGTTTATAAAACAGCCTGGTATATTTTCAGTGAAGGTTTGATTACTAGGTCTGAACATGATGGAAAAACAAACGATAACATCATATTTGTAAGTTATGATATAAACTAATGGTAAATGACCAGAACAACTGTATGGATGTTTTAATGACCGAGGTTTGCTGTAATCTTGATGGACACATATTTCTCTTTTCAGAAGTTGCATAGTAAAGCCCACACATAATAGAATATTTTGTTTGAAACCCACAAGTACTCCTTTAAATTATTGAATTCATGCATATGAAAACATTTATGAAACAATCGTAAGTACATTTTTTCATTGTACTTTATTCAAAAAACTCATAAAATACATAAATACATCATTATGTCTGTTGGATAGTCTTTCTACTAGTTAAAAAGGACAACAGCTTATCCTCGCATTCAAATGCCATTTTAGAGTTACATTTCAACAGTTACAAAAATGTTCAAGTTGTTGTCTTTCTTTTATTTTTGTTAGGGTTCGTCAGGTTGTGCTCATTTATATTTAAAAACATTTGCAACAAGCTGGTAGAGTAAACCACATCAGTCCATATCTCGTGTTATTGTAGTTGGCTCCTAAATCATAAACGCCTTGAAATAGCGAGTGTTCCATTTCACATGTACAAAACGTGCAGCCAGCAACACTCCTGGAGTAACAGAAACATAGATTAACACCATTGTATGTTAAAGGTTAGGACAACATTAAAGTAAGTACAAATGTTGATACACGTATTCATATAATATCATATAACGTTATAAATGGTGATGGGGTGGCCAATGGGTAGCGCAATGAAACTCAATAATATAGATAGGAAGAAAAAAAATATTCATATAACATTCATGTATAATTACAGATTAATATTTTCGATATTTCCGATCGGACGTGAAAAGGTTTGGGGTCACCTGCCCTACAGCGTGTATTTTCTACAGGTACCACCGTTTCCTCCCACATTAAGCCCTGTCGTGGTAACATCCAGGTATACAAGAGTGATTTGTAAATATCTTGTTTGATAACTTGATATATCTATATATATATATATATATTCATTATTATGCAACTCACACGCAAGTTTCTGATGGGAAAATTTGACTTCTGTTTTCTATTGTAGCCAGTGTTCTGGTTTGACCCTGGATGTCAATAACTGTCGTTGGTGACACAAATGTCTTGTTCCTGGTAAAAACGAAAAGGACATCGGAATCAAAATAGTTTTGTGTAGGGAGAGAGGCAGAGAGACAATTGGACAGAGCGACAGAGAGATAGATAGCGTGCGAGACAGAGTGAAAGAGACAGATGAGATTATGAAGTAAAATTATCCTCTTTATTATGCCCCATAATAACATACAAAAGTAAAATATGATCTCCTCGCCGTCATTAACTCCATTAAGCTGCTTGATTACAACAGAAACAATGGGTTCATACGTACGATTTACAACAGGCGTGAGGCACTGCAACTGAGGAAATTATTGTGCTTGTACACAAGCTCGTCTTTCCATTCTGTACAAGGTCTGTACACTCATCAACAGACAACTTGTCACTGAACGAAATACTGTGGTAAGTGATGCTTGCTAACTCCCTCTGTTCCTCCGTAGTAAGAAAATGTCCTGGATACTTTTCGAGAAGAGTGATTTCCTGTTCATTTGTTACAGACTGGTTTGTCTGCCTAGACAGACCAATATCACACGTTATATTTCATGCATGTGTATTCCTACATAAATCATAGTAATACGATCAATTCAAACATTTTGCGATTATTCGAGTTCTGTTTGTAAATGGATAATAAAACAACATGACATATTTCGATTGTTAATCAGTCTTCATCAGTCTGTTGTATTTATTACCTTCAGTTGTATGCCAATGTGTATTATTCTTATTTGTTTTTTTTAAAGCAAAATTGATTTTTAAGTAAGAGGATTTCAAACGTACAGTTACAAAACAGGGTATTCGTTAAGTTAATAGCCTTTCCCCATACCATTATAGGTTCCCCACTCTCCTCACATTAAATAAACAGGTTGGAAGTTGGTAAACCTTGTCGGTTACCCATTATCGGTTGATTCCCTGATCAGAAACAGGAACAATGTATTCCGAAGAGAGGCATATTGTTTTAGAGACATTATATTAGAACGTTGTGGGAACATTTCATGGTTGATGGTTGGATATCATGCTAAACCAAATCGCGTTATTTTGAATTTCAAATTGTAAAAGAAAATAGGTAAAACCTGTCTTTATGTAATTTTCGAGAAAATCTAAATCGAGTTTATTAAACAGGATAAATAACCATCAGTCGTTGGGGAACCGTTATTTAGCGGTGGACTGGTTAATCCATCATTTCCGAAGTAACATTGAGTTTCACATAGACTTATCCTGCCCACACGACTCCTGTAAATCTGATTGTGTATAAATTGATATGTGATTGGTGTTACAGTGTTTGTGATATAACAAACAAGTTTGGTGATATAGTAGTTAAAAGATGTCTTACCGCATACCATAGTACAAAGCAATACACGCACGCATGTCGAGATATTTAGTCATGTGGAATAGGACAAGCAGGTAGCGCCTTTAAGGCAGCTTCTGTAGAATCCTGTTATTTTCATCTTTTAATTGGTTACCTTAGTACTTTGAATATCCTTTGAGTGAAACTGTATAATTATACTGAAATGGCGTAATTTTGATTTTGTATTTTGATATAACTTAATGCGTTTGCTCTAACAATTGGTTTACCTGATATCAATGGAAGCTTGTAATATCCTTCCGGAATCTACAATCGTTGTCATCATTAATATCACTGTTAAAAACAGCATGTTTTCCCAAATCTGAAAACAAACAAAAACCAAATGTTACATGCAGTATAATATGTGATGTTAAAAACGACGTTATAAATTTAATGTGAAACGTGTGTTTACTACGGTATCCCACCACACTTTCACATACATTTTATTTTCAGAACTAGAACACACACGGACAGGCGCACATACCTATACACATAAGCTTATGTACGTTCACTTTCTAGGTCATGTGTATATTAAACATAAATGAGGGTTACCCGAAGCTTTTAACACGTGGATTTCTGTTTATAAAGTACATGTTTTCATCCTCCATATTTTATTTTTATCACAGGAGTATTATACGTGAACTATATATTTAACCATTAAAAGTGTGTTTGTTATGCAACATATGTGGGACTCCTAGTACATCAAAGTGTCTTCGTGCACGAAAATAGCATTAAGCAAATATATATGTGTACGTAGCGTACGCTTATTTTAGTAAATCCTGCTTTCAAAGCAGGCGCCTAGTTTAGCCTTAAGACATCACATATTGATGTTAATGGATCTTACACAATGTACTTAAGCATATGAATCAATAGTCAAAACAGGTACCAGATCTGGGAATCCGTGCAGGTTCGAGGAAAGAATATATCTGCTTGATCATATGAGGCGACGAATATGATGTCTGCACAATCGGAGATAATTTCTGCCTAGTCTCATTAGGGTTAATGTTGGTATGATGCATTAAGACACTTTGATTCATAAAGGGCTCTCACAAATGTCACACCTGTACTGTAGCAATTATATTACGCCTTGATTGTATGATGTTACCTTTCAATGTGGTATTAATGAAATCAATTAAGATTCCTTCTTATGTACGATTGCTACAAAACTAGGTTTCAGAATAGATAACCCCGTATCTGTACAACATAGGGAGATACTTTGTATCAATTCATCTAGTTTAACTACAACAGTGATATGATCTGAATATGCTTTTGACATTATCATACATTGTTAAAAAAAATCGTAGAAAAGCATGTGTTTTGTTACAAGTTATAAAAACAATATAAACATGTTCATGTAGTTTTGGAAAAATAGGTCGCATTTTGAGAACTCTAGTTGGCCAAGTAGTCGTCAGGTGATATTGACCTTCGGAGTTTCATTATTCCACAAAACATATATCTAAAAGAAAAAAGTCACGACCGTTTTATAACAGAAAAGGAGAGTATAAATAACTAGACTAAAATTATTTTGTTATCCTGAAATCTTCATTTCTTCATATTTGAGAATTCCTGATACATACGCCCTGTATACATTTCGAAATGTTGCTTCAAAACCAATGACAGCAAGAATACTTTCCGAACGGAATGTATTCAGGTGTTTTCGTCATACTGGGAAAATAATCCTAGATCAATTACATATCAAGTTATGATGGAACTTCCCGAATGGTTTTCCGATCGACGTTCGTCGCTTTTCGAAACTGATAATGTTAAAATGCAATTTATATTTCCGAAAATATGGGTGTCCCGCCAATTGTTCAAATTCTGCATCAAATTGTACCTTGAACCAAAGGAATATCCTGAAATGAAACGCATTTTTCTTTATTTTGGTGAACATTCCCTTTCAGCAACTACGGACCTGGGATAAATTTTAAGAGTAAAGGATTTCCTACCATGATATATATTGTGAGATAGATATCCAGTCTTTATACACAGTCGAATTAGTTTGTAAACAAGATGTTGAACATATTAGCCATCCATTGTACTGTGTTAATTTGACATGCATTGTGTAATTAAGAAATTATTCATGTATTGTATACGGACATTATTTTCAATACTACTATAACTCAAACGTATATTACGTTACACAATACACAAGTATAAACATACCTTTGTGTCCTTTAGGTTTTATTTCAGAGTTCCACTCCTTTCAATAGAGGTGCAGAGGATAACTAGGATGTACCAATATCTACATAGAGTAACGGCTGCCCATTTTATTGAGAAAGGAAAATATTACAAAACATTATTGTCATGCGTAGACTGTATAACCTGCCTACTAGCAGGATATAATTATGACGTAGGTATCACATGATAAGATGTTAACATCTTATCTTTACTGCATACTTATTAAATCATTACGACAAATATTTCGTTTGATTATATGAAAATACTGATGTTTAATCACGATACATAAATGTGTGATGGCTTCTCTGCTCACTATTGAATATATGCATTGACTCACCAACGTAAAGTAGCGCTATACAAATGTCTCCCATCCCAAATTGATCTGCTGTTGATTTATTGTTTTTTTTTTTATTTCTATTTTTATTTTTTTTTATATTCTTTAAGTAGCACAAGGATATCCTGTAAAGGTGTCTTTAATGCGATTTTACTCACTCTAGCTCCGTTTCGTTTCGGGTTTTTTTGTATTATTTTGTCCGAACCCGGATGTCTAATGATGAAACCACATTTACTGGGTGTGGCTTCTATTTGTCATTTTTTCCGAATATTTATATTACGTGAAATATAAAATAAGGTATTACAAATAACCCTTACAAAAGTCACATGAGACATAAGTATAGCACAGATATGAAATAACTCTGATTAATAATAAAACAAAAATACCCTCCTGGTTGAAGGTGTAAATGAGACATGTACATGTAATCCGTTGCATTAAAGTGTTTTTTTCATTCCGCATGGGTACGATTTATTTACTTGCAATCAGTATGAAACAGTTACGCGAATTCTTACATATGAATAAGGAAATCGTCATCAATGATGATAATAAATTAAAACTAAATGCTGTAAAAATAACAAAAATGTATCGGTAGTGTAGGAGAACGGTGGTTTAGCTCAACAGACAAGGAATATACATATATACAGTTTATTTACACATTAATACACTATACACATACATATGATTATACATACACCTCATTCACTCATTCATACTGATGAATATTTACAATGAAACTATAAGATATATATATAAAGTTCATGGCCTTTCTCTGTGCTGTATCTCCTTCAAGTGTCTCACTGAATGTCTGTTCAATTCTGGTCCCAGTGGAAAACAATATCTGTCTCAATGACGACAGCACCATTGAACTTCCCGGACTTCCCGTATTCCACCCGATATCATCTGCTGATGACGAGGAATGACATAAGCTGTAGCCGCATAATCATACCAGCTTTCTGTCCCATAAGTGTTGTCACTCCGACCCCTACGTGCTTGCTGGCGCACCAATGTTGTAGGCAGTCCGGCGAGTATTCACAATGTGGAACCAATGTTTAGTTGGTTGTCTTATCCACAATCCACCTTAGGCCATATATCTCCCAATTGGAACCAGACATCTGTAAAGTACAGATGTACACGAATAATAATAATAATACTTGTGCACACACCTTCCAAAACTAGCACACTTTATCTAAAATGATCAAACTATATAATGATATCTGGTATAACATCATACATAGACAATAAACCATTATGCTATAAAACTATATATATATTAATGGCTATGTGTGCATGCCTAAAACATATGTACATACATATATTGTAAATTATCTGTCTCCATATGCATATTGAACAATACCACGATTTATGTCTTAATAACACTGACAAGGTATAAAATAACTGATTAATGACTAAATATTAAAAAACATGAAATACCAGAAGTAGTACCAGCATGATATATCATAACGATCAGCTTTTAATAACTTAATTAACACATACAAGTTACTAATTATGTTATCTTACTCTGTAACATACGTACACACGCCTTAGCGGTGAACTACATACGCGTAAACATGATACGCATGAGTGACGCGCACCCACACCTAGCCTACCCATACAATGCATACACACTCTAAATGATCTAATACCCGACGAAATATGAAAATATAGATATAAAAGTATACATAGAATAGTAGGATGATCAGAATTAACATTTGCCCTGTTAATAGGTGGTCACGATGACTCTGTCTGTTTTTTCGGCCTTCTCAAAATGATACACGTCTTAACGCAACAATGGCTAATGACTGTGTGTGAACATTACTTACGTGGTCAGTCCAACTTTCTTTTATAGCTTACCCATGAATAGCGGAACGAAATAAAGATAATATAAATTACAGAAATACCCACTTACCATCCTAATATGCTTCGTGACAATATCAAATAAAAACTGTGTTGAATATCAGCATCTTACAAAATACAACATTATTTCCCAAGTTGCTAAGCAACATAGCATGTCAGCATTCGTTATTGTCTATGGTTGCAAGCAACTGTCATCTTGATCGCAATTTGTTCCACGGAAAATGTCCATTTGATCTATTTGAATGACACAGCTTTGCAAGCAAAAATCATAATGCCATTAAAACACAGTTCAATACTTATATTTACGTTTTCTCTGTCTTTGATGGGTTTTTTAACTTACAAGCTATATTTTACATACGAAATTCTCGCCTTATCGACAGTCCACACAAATGTGTTCAATACATGGAAGAGCGTGTTGTCGCTGGCTCATTGGCAAAAAAGCAGAACTTTGAAAATTCGACAAACACTTGAAATTTTATTCCACAATTTAGTACTATACAATTACTGATATGATTATAGGATGATTTAAGTTATTAGTAAAATTCTGAGCTGAAAGGAATATTTGATATTGTTTTGATTGTTATCCCGAAACAAATTTTGCGAATGAACAAATTCAGTCAAAGCCGTAACTCGACCTTACCCTTCACGAGGGAGTTATTTTTGGAGGATGCATAACCAGTGAGGAGAGTAAGAATTTGTGAAGAATTCAGGCGTGAATTCATTTCTGGATTGCATGAAAACCTGGCTACAGTTAGTAGATGCTAAACCAGCTTAGTTATTTGACATGACGTCAGCAACTGCGGTAACCGTGGCTGATAAACGCGTGATAGCGATTGAAGTGTGTGATCTTGCGACAGAGCGTGGGACAACAGCTGATTGTAACTCAGGGTGATTTAAACAGCTAAGGGAGTGTGCCACTCAGTGCTTTCTTTTGTGTTGTTGACGCAGTCCTGCTATATGACCGGTATGCAGATTCGTTTTTGTGGTTCGACAATTTTTTTTTTTTTTAATTTTGATCATTCTTTGTACGATTTTGGATAAGCTTTCATTCGTGTCATTTGGTTTAAAACCAATGAATGCCAAGTGAATATCTGTTATTTGTTCAAGTGTCACTCCCGCTAGATGAGAATCCATCACCGAAAAAAGTCGGGGAAACCGAGGAATAAGTGCGGAAATCGTTTAATTCTGTCATTGTTATATCAATGTTGTGTAACAGACGATATTTCTGATAAATTGTATCAATGTTAAAATTGTTTTCATTAGTTATTCCAACCAATGTGCATTGTGTATGATATGACAGATCTAAGTCTTTTACTGTAATAAAAGGTGTTGTTTTTCAAATATTCTTTTCGACTTTTTTTCTTCAAATTCACAATTACATTTCAAGTCTCACAATGCCCTCCGGTATTTCAGCAGCCGTCATGTTTGTTTATATTTAATATCATAGTTCCGGTCTGTGTTGTATTAGTACGCTAACAATTGTGTCTCATGGTGCATTGCATTTCAAGTCTCATCAACGACACAGCTTTCAAGAAGGTTATTTAGTGACAATGCCTTGCAACTATGATAATACAGTTTGAGTCCAAGATAAAACATAAAAACATCATCATTAGTTTTCATCCTTACAACCTCTAACTGCATTTCCACATTTAAAATATAGATTATGCTTGTGGTAGTTGAACGTTTTTTCGTGTTCAAACTGAATCATAGTGACGATATCTATTGACCAAATTGGAATATATAATAATTTTACTAACATCACATCGTCAATGTGCATGACGTCACAGTTACCCGACCTGAATTTATAATGTATATCTTGGTGTCTGGATCAAAGACTAACTTATTAACCTTAAATGCTTGCATAACCGATAACTTATCTCATGGTATTATAAAATATAGTTAATATTTGATTAATTACTGATTAATTAACAGATGGAGCAATTCATTAAATAATTTTGTATATGTTGATATTTAATGAAGATGTCTTAACATAAACAGTGTGTTTAATAAATCACTTAAAACCGATTGACATAACCCAAGACGTTAATTCTGGAAACAAATCAATCTGATCCATTGCGAACAAATGATGCATAAATTAAGTACTTCTACTTTTTAGATTATGTAACATGATTAATATTGATTTTGTTACACCTTTCTGATCATATATTACAACAACATTGTCAACATACGGTTAAACAATGTATTTCTCTCGTTGTAAGGAGAGTACATTTGTTTGTTTCCCATAGATCAATTATGTAGTATGAGCACAAAGTCGGAGTGAAACATGATAAAGAGACACTCTCATTCGGCCCCATCCCTACCACCTTACACTTCATTTCTATGTTTAAATCACATGTATAATTTTCATTGTGATTTTGGATAAGAGTTTTTCGTGTTTTAACTAAAATAAAATATAACGTTGGTTATTCCATCTATATAATTGTATTGATGTTGTATCGGAATCGTAATTATTGACTCCATCTCCTTTTATCTTATCCTTTTATATTATAAGGACCAATAACCAACAAAAAGTGGTATTTGAAAAAGCAGTTTATTAGTGATATTTAATTTGATTAAATACACATGAAACATGTAATAAAATGTTAATATAGCATATCGTTTGTATTACGTAAAATACAAACTATATTACTCGTCTCCGAACACCACATGTGCCGCTATCGGTATACACCCCCTACCCTTCACCCTTGGATTATCAAATGATAGAATAGTATGTAATTGTTACTTATTAATTGGTTCCAGAAATCAAAATATTATCAATGATAATGCAGTAGTGATCAGTAATTGAACTTGGAAGATTATCAAAGCTTATTTCAGATAAAATCTGCTCAAAACCATCGTGTCTGTACTGCATAATTATCTATTAAAGCGATACCCTGAGATCCAGGCGAATTAACTCGCAATTTCTTCAAGCGCAAACAATCCGTCCGATTCCATCAGGAGAAAATTCTCTGGTGCTAGTAGTTAGTTTTTGCTATATTTTGCAATATGATACTTAACGAAAATCTGTAAAACATATTTTACAATTACAGGAATATGCGTCTGATGTACATCAGTCTATTTACGGTTAAACACGATAATGAATGATAGCGAATTACTGATTTTAAAACAAGTCAAGGAAACTCGCGAATGAACAGGCGTGAATAAAGCGGTCTATCGTTAATAGCGATATCAGTATAAGAATATTTATAGTAGCAAAACAAAGGAGTATACTACATATCACATATCACATATGGTCAATTTCACCGTTTTTGTACCGCGAAATCATTTATCAAAGTGATACTCCGACAGTGTAATACAGTAGTTTGCAGCAGTGCTATGTCACGTGACCCACACAAAGTGTTCCCATTGATACCTTCATCAGGAGCCGGTGTAGCCGTGGGGTCTTGTGAATTAATCCATAAACAAATATGGAGATAACGTTATCAGTATTTAACTATCGTTTCAAACCTGACATTATTCAATATGACAACATCACTTTAAATGACCACCACTGACACGTGTGTGGGCAGCCACTGTTCTCTACGAAGATGAATGACTTGTTATGGTGGTATTATTTCAGTACGTACCGGGGAGGTCAGTGAAGATCTAAAGCTTTTATATTTGGTTGCATCGCCTTCTGTATATAATAAAGAATACTTCGATTAAAACTCCGCTGTGAGGTTGAATTCCTCTTTGGGATTAAAATTAATACAGGGTTGACTTTAATCTTAATAGATATTAAAGATGTTTCAGGCCCCAGTTTCATCAACGTTCCTTAACTTAAATGTTTCCTTAACTTAAAATCGCTAAGGAATTCCTTAGCTAAGACTTCATGAAAAATGCGTTTCATGAACGTTCCTTAACTTAACGAAGGAGCTCTCCTTAAAATTAAGGAACGTTTATGAAACCGAGGCCAGTTGTCCGTAAATATTCGGTTAATGTACGATATTGTTAGAACACCTCTGATTATATACACATACGTTTATCTTATATACATTGATATCGTCATTGGGTACATTAAATGGCATGATAAGAACTCAACTACAAGTATTCTGGTAATGCGATACATTTTAAACTAGAACACTGACAGGTCAGTAAGGGCCCCGTCTTGTGGCAGTATATCCCCCATAATCATCAAGAAGCTATCTGGCCATATAGCTGAGCTTGACGTTTGAAATTTGGACTTCAAAAAGAATCGCAAGGAAGCAAAATATACATTTTACATGTACTATGATGTGAGTCTTGTTTCCTTCCACCTCCATATTTGCTGGGCTAACAGAAATGTAAATACCGGTGCAATACTCATTTGTAAGCTTTGATTTGTTTTATTTCACCTTATGTACCTCCTCCATCAAGAGCCAGGGTCAATGTCAGAGATCCACTTTGTCTTTGACCTTTGGACCCAAGTGACCTTGACCATTAACCCAGTGACCCTGATCTTTGGTCAGTTGACTTATTCTTTAATTACGACCAACTTTGCTTCTTAATATCATAACAAAATGTTCATCAGTGAAAAATACAATACTTGACCTTGACCCTTTGGACCCCGTAACCTGGACCTAAGGTCAGTTGACTCTGTGTTAAGTTCTGAACAACATTGCTTCATAATGTCATAACAAAATGTTCATCAGTGAAAATATGTAAAATTTGACCCTGACCTTTGAACCTAATGACCTTGACCTGTGACCTTGAATTTTAACCTCAATGTGTAATTTTGTGAACTGAACAACTTGACCAAGTTTCATTTACATCGGTCAATAAATACCAAAGTTATCAGTCAGGAACAAAATTTGCGAACAGACAGACAGACAGACAGACAGACAGACAGAGTGATTGCTATAGGGCACCTGTATCTCCGATACGGGGCCCTAACTAGTATGATATAAACAGAAGATAAACAAAATATAATATACATAATCATATGTGGGAATTATCGGACTGCTGAGCACTTCAACGTCGAAACCCTCTGTTAATGTGGTGTAGTGGTATGAGCTGTGGATATTTCTAGGCTAGGGGACTTGATGCTGTGAGTTGTGAGTTCGAGCCTTGGACAGATTGTACCATTGTTTCCTTCGTCACTTCTTTTTCTATGTTATTTGTATAGTTATCACATATCGTCTTTCATGGACCTTGTGTATGTTGTCGAAAGGTTTCGGATATGAACTCCTGTCGTAATTGTACTGTGTCTGACACAATAGTATGTGTATTTGATCTGAATCTACAATACATACTATTATTGATAATTCGAGATGCAACATTAATCCAAATTATTTGTAAGTGGGTAAAAATCATATATATATATGTATCTTTACAAAAAGTAGATAATAAACCAAAAGTTCTTGCGATGAAAACAATAATAATAAAACAAGTATACAAGCCTGACCGCTACGCTTTTCTGCCTTCTTGCGTATTTTAATACATTGATGTGAAAACTTCAAATGAATGTATTTCTGTCATGTGTACTTGGTTAAGCATTGAACTGTTTTTGTGATTGGCAAACAAAGTAGTATTTGAAATTTTAACAAACACTTAAATTTTATTCCACAATCCAGTATCAATACAATTGCGTATGATATGTCTATAGGGTAATCTAAGTTTATCAATAGAACTCTGAGCTGAAAGTTAGATTTGAAATTGTTTCGATTTTCCCCCGGAACAAATTTCGCGCATGGATAAATACAGTGAACACCGTAAATCCGACCTTGTCCTACACGAGGGAGTTATTTTTGAAAGTTAATTCAAACTTTTCTCTTTGCTCATTTTGTGAAGAATCCAGACGTGAATTTATTTGTTGATTGTTTGGGAATCTGACTACAGTCGGTAAGATTATATAACAGCCTCGTTATTTGACATGTCGACAGCAACTAAGAAAACCGTGGCTGCGAGACGCGCGAAACGTTTGAAGTGAGTGATTTTGCGACGGAGCACAACAGGGGTTCGTTACAAATGTCTGAAATGGTATGTACTGTGACTCATATCAGTAGGTCTATAGAATATGTTTATTTCAAACATTTGTAACGAACCCCTCAGTGCAGTGTAACGGACGATATTTCTGATAAATTACATGAGCGTTAAAATTGTTTTCATTGCCGGCATTGGTGATTTCAACCGATGAGCATTTTGTACGATGTTGCAGACCTTGGTCTTGTTTTTGTTGTAATAAAAGTATTTTTTATTTCATTTTCTATTTTGCACATAAATTTACAATGGCTCAAGTCTCACAATGCCCAGCGATATTTCAGCAGCCGTCATGTTTATTTACATTGGATATTGTAGTTCCGGTCAGTGTTGTATCAATACGCTAAGAATTGTGTCTCGTGCTGCATGGTAATTAAAGTCCCATCAACGACACAGCTTTCAAAGAGGCTATATAGTGACAATGCCATGCAAATGTAAATATATCTGAATGACAGGACGACTGCAACTACGAATTTGCCCATGTTTCCCTTACATCATAGTTTGTATGAATGATGCGTCACATAATTAGTATTTCAAGGCATCTGTTACGCATTCAACAGTTTGCGAACAGTGAACCTTACAGCAGTGTAGTGTTATACGTCTTCTTCTGCTCATGTTTCTTCTGCTTATTTGTTTACACATTTACAACAACCCTTCGTCTTAAAAGCACATATTCCATATCTTTTATCACAGCCTTCTTCTTTATCCCCGTTATCATAAACAGCTGTGGCCAAGGTGTCGTCACATTTACATTCAGTATCTGTACATGACTCTGTCGTGCTAAATAAAGGGAAACAATGATGTAAACCGTTATACCTGTATATACATATATCAATTACTAAATTATGTTTGGTATCGTTATTTCATATAACGAGATTTGAGTTAAGATATCAACAAGCATATGTCTCATACATACATGTTACGACGGTTAAATAAGAGAAGTAAATGACCACACTGATGTAAGTATGTTTTATAAGTTTACCTGACTGTATCGAAATTTCTGCTCCATATCCAAGACTCGTCATACATAATACAGCTATAGCTAAGTTTTATTCTCCTTGTAATTTTTCAAAAGTGTTCATGTAAATCTTAAATACTTAAATACTTAATATTTTGCCCTAGTTTTGCTGATTTAAAAAAAAAGATGGGCATACAGGTTACACACACAGATGTGAATGGGTCAATGAAACATATCCCTCCAGACTTAGAATATGATCATAAACCAATTTCTCCCCACACCATCGAGAATGTCTTCTTTGCCCAATATGCATCCGTCCCATTGTTCATTATGGCAACTAAACCCAACGAAAACATTCTACTAAAGAAAAGGGTTATAGTACTTGTTGTTGTAGTTGTTCTTGTTAATAAAAAGCGAATTGTGTTAGGTCAAAACGCTACAACCAAATCAAATATTCAAAACGATTGTAAATGAAACTGATCAAAACTTAGTATTTATAATATTTGTTTCCATGTGTACGCATAGTGACATTATTGTTACTTACTTGCAACTGTCATATTGAAAATATTGTTTGTAACCTGCAAATACAGCCACAGAGCTAGTTGTTCCATCGATGCATTTAATGGAAGTAGGAGAGTAAAATAATTGTTTCCTGAAAAAAGAAAACAAATAGTAAGGCTTGAACTTCAAACAATGTACATTAATACAAAAAACAGGTTATACAAAAATTGAAAAGTAGTGTCAAAATCAACCATTTAAGGTTAAAATATTGACCGTAACGGTAGCTATGTACGATTTATAACCAATCTTCCACTTAGGTACAAGTAGTTACTACGACAGCCTATATGCATTATCATATTTGTTGAATTGCTTTGGTATAATTTAGGTAGAAACTTACGTTGAACAACAACCATGGTATGCACGCTTCAGAATACCATCCACACTTGTTTCATACGTCGCCTGTGATGCTGCAGTTCGAAATCGTTCAGGATACTTCGTCCGAAGTCTGTGAAGAATCAAAAACTGTGTCTAAAAAACTACATCAATATTTCACTCAAAAGCATGACTTCCTGTTACTGATTCATTAAAGCACCGTGAAAGTGATACGATCGATTTATAACGCATTGCTTGCGAACAGTGTTTTCTCTTCGTTGACCGTTCGCGCATTAAAGCGTTACCATGTATCACATCGCATGGATGTTATTGTGTTAGGTGTATGGCAACAGTAGGTAATTGAAAATCCATAATGATTGTTCTTTGAAATACAAATTTTAGACATTGAATTCTACATAGTATACTTGTTTAGAGTTAATCTTAAAATTAAGCATTTTAATTCTTAAGTACAAATTGCAAGTGCTGAATTAAGAGAACCGAATATACATCCAGTCAGAAAATAAGCCCCTTTTTGTCGTTATAGGGCACCTGCCGACCCAGTGGGCTTTCATTTTAAATCGAAAGTCCCGTTTGCATCTGTGGACATTTTTGTTAGAATGTCATTCACGTTTTCATTGAGTGTCAACTTTTTGGTAATGAAAGGCGTATTGCGCTTCTAATTTTAAATGTCTTAGGTATAGATTTAAATTTAGAGGGTTTTTTTGGCAGTTCAGATATTTCGGTGAACCTGAACTCTTAGCTTTTTAGATATGTGAGTCATTTCATCATTCTGTGTGAATAGTATATATATATATATAGTTCATGATTATGCAAATTATCATGTATGTCATGTAATTGTGAATGTATGATGGGAGAAGGCTGTGATATGTTGTAATAACGTGTGCCTTGTTCAAAGTATTTGGCAACAAAATATGCTTTAAAGAAGAAAATACGGTTCTCCTTTGTAGAATTCAGTACATCCTTTAATATAGACCGGACTAGTTTTTATTTCAAATCAGTAAAGGTGTTTTTTTTCTGAAAATGAAATACTTTTCTATAATGAATTAAAATTCAACAACATACCAGAAGTTTAAAAATATTGTTCATATAGTAGTAAAGAGAAGCATGATTGCAATAATTTCTGGTAATCCATATCGGAAATAGTTTTAAATTATATTGGATATTGATTTTTTAGTGATTGTTGTATAATTGCATATTAGATACATGTCGAAGTTACTGTAACGCTGTGAGAGATAGAATGTTATAGTTCTACTCTATACTATGTAAGGGTAGTTTGTACACTGTAAAGCACATGTTTAAAACAAAATTTCTGTGACATCGTTGTTTTCCCGAAAAAATTGCAAATTTATAATATCGTTGTATTAATGGACATGAAAAGTGATCAAAGGTTACTAAAACAATCGTTAACACCTTGTTAAATTTAGTCAATAATTGATCCTCTTAGGTGTATTGATGATCAAAGCGTAATTAGCCCTATCCGAATATGCACAACAGCCTACACACACTAATGTCAAATGTATCAACGTATATGATATTAAGAACTTGTTCTTTTATAAATAATTGGTACTTTTATGTATGAGGTATCGGACATATTATTCATCCCTTTTTCTGCGTGTGAACGTTTAAAGAGCTTATTCTACCACACATACCGATATAATAACAAAATTTGGGAAAGCATGAAGAATATAAGGCTCTTTGATAAATAACTTCAATATTTGATTCAGTGATAAAGAAATATAGACACAACCGGTTGCCATGTTGATCAATATCAAAAGAAATACACTTATTGCGAAAACAAATTCATTAAGGATGTAGCATCTAATTGAGTATTACATGTTATCAATAGAAAATGTTTCTTACCTGCAAGTATCCGTAGCTAAAGCAATATCAGACGTGTTTGATTGACAGGTCGGTCTGCTCACCAAATGTGCAACCATCGCACATGTCGCTCCCGTCGTCAGCAAGCTGGCTACGGTCTACAACATAGCATGACAGTTAATTGCGATACACAAAAGCTAAAAGCAACAAAAGTTGCCACAATATATGTCAGAGTTTCTAAACTTTTGATTGTCATTATTTTGGTATGGATTTATCTATGATGGATACTCCTGAAATCCAATTTTGTTGTTCTTCTAGTCAATTCAGACAGACGTTTTCATTTTTTCCTTGATGATCAAGCAGATATATCATTCTAAGGATGTTGTTATTTATTTAAGGTTTTTAAAATCAATACTGCATCTTCATCTAAGCTAGCATTTTAAGATATCCTGATAAAACAATGGTAATTTTGAATAACCTTCCAAATCTTTTGTATTCTTTATAATCATGCACATATTGATTTAGGAAATTGTTTGGTATAACTGTCCATAGGCTTGCATTTGTATCACCCTTTATACATTTTGAACATTCCCACAATATATAGTTAGAATGTTAGATGTCAAATATAGCATTTGTAAACCCCTCTTTTGAATTATAAGCAGAGCGCTTTTCGTTTAACTATTTTCCCCAGACATTTTGATAATGTGTTGTGGTACAGGTAGTACTGAAATAAGTCAATTAAGGAATAAAAAGGGATTTGAAATTCCGAATTCTTTAAATCATAGTCAGTTTCCTTTTTTGTGCTATTTTTTTTTCTCTGAGTTTACTCTAAAATGAATACAAAGTACTTTCAAATGCCCAATCTATGTCTTCATATTGATCAACTATCGATAAATTATTGTCTCCTAACTTTGTTCCTTGTGATATTTTTCGATTAAGTATCAGACCTGATAGACTACCAATATTTAAATAAGATTTAGATCTTTTGTGATGTTTTTTTTTTTTTTTTTTTTGCTTTTAGAAATAATGTAGTATCGTCTGCTAGTGTGGATATTTTAAAATCTCTTCTTTGTTAATGTTTAAATAGTGCCCTTCCGTTTTTGATCTTATCTTATTTTGGTAGCTATTATTTCTACAGCTATTACAAAGAGGAGTGGTGATATCGAACAGTCTGGGTTTATTCCGCGTGTGACACTTTCTGTGGAATCAAAGGCCTAGGTAAAGTCAAGAAAAAGTATTAAAAGCCTCATTAACTTAAAAGTTGTCAGTATAATCAACAATGTCTTAGATTAAACGAATGTTATATCTAATATTTCATCCGATAACATAGCCATTTTGGTCAACGCTAATTATTTGTAGCTCACCTAGCAATAAGTGCAAGTTAACCTTATGGTATGGTGTGTTGGCCGTCGTCCGTCAATTTTTTCTCTGAACGACTTCTTCTTAAGAACTGGAGAACCTATGACAATACTTTTTTGGCCTGTAGGGACCTAGGACAGAGTGATATAATTTTTCTCAAATAAATAACCTTGACCTACTTTCAGTGTCACAGGGGTTAAATCTATTTAAACCTTTCAACAATTTCTTCAGAATAACCAGGATGCCCAGAGTAATGATACTTAACCAGAAGGTACCTGTGACAGAGTGATACAAAGTATCCTCAAATATTGACATTGGCCTATTGTCTAGGGCATGTAAGGGCAAAAAGTGTAGAAACCCTTCTACTGAATAACCAAGAGACATAGCGCAATAATATTTCGCCAATAGGTACCTGGGACAGAGTAAAATTAAAGATTCCTCCAAAATATGACATTGGGACAGAGAGCTTAACAGTTTTTCTCAAATAAATATCATTGACTTACGTCACAGGGTTCAAAATCGTCAATCATTTTATCAACTTCTTCTGAATAACCAAGAGGCCTAGGTCAATTATATTTGGTCAGTAGTTCCTTGGGACAGAGTGATACAAAGTCTTCTTAAATAAATGGCCTTGTCCTATTAACAGGGCTTAGATATGTTTAAATCTTTAAACATTTTCTTCAGAATACCTGGTAATCATACTTAATCAGTAGGTACATGTACCTAGGACAGAGTGATATAAACGTTTCTCAAAAAATGACCTTGGCCTACTTTCAAGGTCACAGGGGCTAATTATGTTAAAACCTTATAACAACTTCCTCTGAATAACCAGGAGGCCAAACGTATTGATACTTGGCAAGTATGTACCTGGGTCAGAGTGCTATAAAATGTCCTCAAATAAATGACATTGACCTACTTTCGAGGTCACAAATGAAAAAAAGTATAAAAATAATAAACAACTTCTCTTCAATAATCAAAAGGTCCAGAACAACGATATTTGGCCAGTAGGTACATATGTTCATAGCTACTCGGGAAAGTGGGATATAAAGTGCCCTTGACCTACTATCGAGGTCACGGGTGTCAAATATGTAAAAAAAAAAAAACACTTCTGATTAAACAGGAGACCCAGATTAATATTACTTGACAAGTAGGTTCTTGGGACAGAGTGATATAAAGTTCCTTCAAATAAATTATCTTTGACATACTTTAAAGACCACAAGGGTCAAATGATTTTAAAACGTGTAAATATATTTTTTTTGAATACCCACGAGGCCGAGGGCAATGCTATTTAACCAGTAGGTACTTTAGACAGTGTGATATAAAGTTTTCCAAAATAAATGGCCTTGACTTACTTTCAGGGGCAAATATTTGCGAAAGTACTTTTATTGAGAATATTTCTCATGCATGCCCAAATATCCAGATGAGCGATACACGCCCTGTGGGCCTCTTGTTGGCAATATAGGTTGGATTCGAATACGATATATGGCGGATGCCATCGATAAAGCAGAATATTACCGTCCAGAATATCTCGTAACTCTCCAAGACTCTCCATGTAAATCTTTCCTTTGTTCAGATGTTGCGGTAGTTTTATCGATTTTGACTTCGAATTATGGTTTTGTTAAAAACGCGGTATTTGTGTTATTGCATTTTTTTTAAATGTTGAACAAGCGGTGTGTACATTTTTTCGATCGTCTTAATTATTATGCATAAAAAACATCGTAACTTACGACACCTTACGGGCTACCATAAGTTGAATTTTTTCTTAAGTTAAGAACTTTTTTAATTTACATATCTTAACTTACGCAAAAAGGAACATACTCGCGTTCATATTCGGGAAAAATGGCAGCGTTCATTATATTAAATACAGTAAGAGAGGGAGAAAACTTAAGAAGCGAGCGAGATTTTAGAGACAGAACCTAGGGTCTCGACATCATAACCGACCCTTATACAGCGCTACATATATCAAAGGCGGGTCATTCTGCAGCTAGTTGATGGCATCAAAGACGGAATGCAGCCGCAAACTTGGAGATCTCACTCCATCCCTGCCCATATTCAGGTAATTTCTCTGCTTACGTAATTTCTCTGCTTGCGCTACGAAGTCACAGGTCACAGATCTTGGAAACAGAAAAAGACCCTGTGTTAGGCCTAGATCATCTTGTCAAGTTACTGATTTCTCAATAAAACGTACAACTATATTTTCAACACAAACATTTTAAAACAATCATGTGAAAAGGTCGTATCACGAGCAATTGTTTCAACGAAGACATTTTATTAGTTTTGAAAAGTTTTCATTCCAAGTTTGCCGATCTCCACGCTCCGTAAAATAGGTCAGGATGTCCTCTCAGAGAATGATGTTTATTTTTTGGGAAACACTTAAGACCTGAATGAAGAGGATAATGTCAGGTTTTTGGACCGAGTTGATGAACTAAAATTTAGATGTTTTATGATTGATCACGATAAATTTAATATATATAAGATAATTTGAATTTTCTGATTTATATGTCTTCTAATTCTATCATCTCTAGATGAAGGTATTATATGGGAAGGCCTAGACAAGAGATCCCAGAGGAATCTTGGCGCCTTTCATTGTGCCATATTTATTATTTCTTTGTCAGATTGATCTTTTCTCGTATTTGTTTTATTGAGTCATGTTAACATTAAATGCAGCTTCGGGTAACTATTTTGTTTATTCCATCAAAGCTCAAAGTAAACATGCACAACTAAGGCCCATGGAAAACCTACAGAACAAATTTGATAAAGATATTTCCAGTTTTTCCTGAGAAATATCGAAAACAAACATTCATACAGCGGGAGACCCAGGGGAACCTACATATGAATTTAAAAAATATATTAAGAAGTACTTACTACGTTAGAAATAGCGAAAACAAGAATTGTTTAAGGACTGACGACGGACAACTGACGACAGACCATGGACGATTTGAACAAAGACAAGGAAAGAAAAGGATTTGTAGCGATGACAAAGTTTATAAACACTGTTAATAAAAATAATAAAGTAGGAAAATATTAAATTTATCAAAGACTTTTATTTCTTGAGTTTGCTAAGGCCAATTATTAATTGCTAAAGACAAATATGGGGTTTTAGCAACTTTTGCTAAAGGAAATTTTGATCTAAGAGTTTGCGGATAATTCCCAATGCAAGGTCGAAGTATTTAGCTTTCCTGAAGTAAGAGTGCATTTATATAGCAATCTAATCAATGTATATCGTGGGTTTCCGGACCTTTCATGATGCTTACGATAACCTACGATGTTGTCAGATAAAGTATTTTGGAAAACTCCATGAATATTTCTTTTATTATATGACTGGTGCTTATTGCAATACCTGACTGGAGGAGCGACGTCAAGTGACAAGTCTATAAATCTGTTACAGACCTCGACCCATAAAAAGAAAAGTGTTACAGAACGCTACTAAAAATAGGCCTAGGTAATTTCCAAGCCATCGATTAACAGACAATCAAATCATCTGTTACAGACCTCGACCTATAAATATATAAGTGTTATAGACCGCTAACAAAAATAGGCCTTGGTAATTTACCAGCCAGTCTGTAAATCTTTTACAAAAGAATCATCTCATCACATTCTGAACTACGTGATGCTATTGATAATGTCGATTGTGCAAATTATATTTACTTGAAATTAAATATCACATGAATTGAATCTGAAATTAGGTTATTTGGTATTGGAAGTCTTCAATCTGTTATTCCAACCCATCCATTAGTTTGTGACTTGAAAAGTGGACTAAAATACAGCTACAGTCAGGCAGAATATCAGTGCTTGATTCATAGGAACCTATTAAAAGATTTAAACATATGACGCCTGTGACCTTGAACAAGGACATTAGGTTGAACAGAGTTTATAGTCTTTCAACCCAGCATGCTTCTGGCAAAATATAATTACCCTGGAATTTTTGGTTATACAGAACAAGTCATTTAAAGATTTAAACATATATTGATCACAGTGATTTTGAATATGGCAAAGTTCACTCATTTGAACAAACTTGGTAGTCCTTCATCCCAGCATGTTAATGTCCAAATATCATCACCCTTGGCCATTTGCTTATTGAGAAAAAGGTTTTAAACATATTTGACCCCTGTGGCCTTGGGTATATGTCAAGGTCATTCATTTTAACAAACTTGGTAGCGCTTTATGCCAGCATGCTACTGGCCAACTAACAATATCCTAGGTCTTTTGGTTACTGAGAGGAAGTTGTTTAAGGTAAAAAGTTGACGCCGGACAGACGGACACCGCACCACGGCATAAGCTCACTCGCCTTCGGGCAGGTGATCAGCTAATAAAACAATTTAGAAATTAGGTTTCAGTTAATCCCTGATTCTTTATTGATTGGAGATTGTGCCGTTTAGTTTTAGCAAACAATACATGTACTAATTCTGCTTTTTTCAAAATTGTATTCAGTTAGCAAGTGTATTTCTGATCATAAGAAACTTACATGTGCTATCTTCAGCTTACCCATACGAGCTTTTGTTTGACATCTATAAATTGGTTTTAATTGATGTTTGACTGTATTGGTACAAATAAGTTCTGCGGACAGGAGTTAATGTTGTCTTTACTTTTGTTTTAACGCTTATGTGGAGCCTGTTACTGTTCCGTTTTACCTAATTCGACCTCAGTGAATGTTGTTCAGGTCTGTTAATCACGGATAGACCTCATCTGAAGTCCACAATTGTGTAATATTTTTCATAAAAACAGCTTTTTACAACATACAATACCAGTTTTACTGCATATTTTGCCAACATAAATCCTTTTGTGTGTGTAAATCCAGAACATGTTTACATCATCTGGTTCCAGTTTTACAGTACCCGAATGTTTACATGGGAAATTGGCTGTTGTTTACTATTCATCCAGGGAGTAATTGGCCAGCTTTGATTGACAGTTTGACTGTCTGTTGTTGTTTAATATTTTAAACCTCACTTAATTGTAATGAGAACCGGTTACTGCAGTATCACTTTCTTGAAACATGGATCAGATGTGAAGTATATTATGTTTAAGAAAATCCTTTAATGTAATTACCAAATATGTACATTTACATGTAAGTCTACATTTGTAATTTCAGGTTTTGATCTGTCTACGATTTCTTGCTAAAGGAGATTACCCTTCAGATATGGCAGATATTCATGGGATATCAAAGTTATCTGGCAGTTTGATAATCCTCCGTGTCATCAATTCAATCTGCGAATATCTGAAGAATATTGAATTCCCCACCAACATAAATGAAATACGGAAAGTAAATGCAGAATTCAATAAAATTGCTGGCTTTCGCAATGTGGCTGGTGCTATAGATGGCACACAGACTCCTATCCAAAGACTGTCATCAGTTGACGAACACCTGTATGTGTGTAGGAAAGGATTTCACTCCATAAATGTACAAAGGGGAGTAAATTCAGACTTAAGGCATGCAGCAAAACTAAGTTTAAAGTTATTCACAATTCAAGCAACCTTCATTTGTCAGAAAAATTCCAAAAGAATTTGTTTACCAATGTTAAGTGTCATCCCTTGAGTCCTTTCTGTTATCTTTATCCTTCCAATCTGCTATGAATTCAAAAAAAGATGATTTTGGGAAACAGTGCTCATCAATTCTGGCCATGCCAAATTCCTACAAATTTTTACAAAACCTTATTTGAACTTTGACCTTTCAATTTGACCTTGACCTGACACATAACTTTGGCTAAATATGAAGTCTCTGTCTCATATACATGTAGTCCAAAATGCTATGGGTAATGGTAAGAGTTCTGGACAAACAGACCAGAAAATGTTTTTGGTTTTAGTTTTCATCCCATAAAACTAAAATGACTTAATGATCTTGTTTATTGCAGAGCAAAATCACATCCATTTAGCGGAAAGGATTTCACATCTGAATTGCAGATTTACAAACACAGTATGCAAATTCCCAGGATCTACGCATGATTCATATATTTTTTCCTCCCACAAAACTAGAACGACTTAATGATATTGTTTATTGCATAGCAAAAGCACATTCATTTAGTATATAACAAAGGATTTCACATCTGAATTGCAGATTTACAAACGCAGTATGCTTATTCCCAGGATCTACGCATGAGGCATATATTCTACAGAGCAGTTTTTTTACCAGGCTATCTGTCACATCTAGAAGATGGAGGTTTGCTGTTGGGAGACTCGGGGTATCCTTTAAAGGAGTGACTTATGACCCCAATTAATAATAATAAAAGACCAGGTCAGGGGGAGCGGTACAATTCAGCTCACTGCCGCACAAGGAATGTTGTAGAAAGGGCATTTGGTGGTGTAGGGTTGAAAGTCCTTTGTAGCCCACCCTTATCAGACTATTCAAATCGCCCGTGGTCTGTCCGTCAGTCATCTATCCGTTGAGGAGGTAAAACGCTAGAAAACAAATGAAATATCCAATAGATAAAATGGACAAAATCAGTGTTTGATATTATATTACTGAGAACCTACAGAAGGGACAGTGTGTTGGTACGATTTACTTTTATCTAGCATATATAACTAGATTACGGAGACAAATTAACCATTGACTAATGACTGATTGACATACAGAAAGTTACAGCATGCCAACATGCTTGCCAGTAGCGAGGATTTAAGACAAATACTTGAAGTATTGTTACATGTTCAATCCGACACTCCAGGACAAATTATATATCCTAAGACATAATGTTAATATTGTGGTGAATTTTGGGGAGAATTATATTCCTTAGACCGATACCCGCGCCGACAACCTGGATGTGGCATTGTAACGTTCCGGGGTCCGTACTCTAGTCACTTCTAAGGATCCCTGTGCTGTAAGCTTAATTATAACTACACTACAGTTGCAAATATATACAAGTATGTGTTACTACCTTGTAACCAGCATACCTATTACCTAATGCTTAATACATGATATGAACAGAATAATTACTGCACGACTATAGAACTATTACCAAAGCTATCTGCTCTGTATCACTATAACACACTACACACACTACCGTACAATCCAGGCAGTACACAACTCGACTACCTAGTCACAGCTAGCCCTAGTCACTATAGTT